GAAAGAGAAAAATTGGAAAACACACTCATTGATAATTCATCTTCTTCTTAATTTTATCTCTGATTTTTTTCATGCTTGATTTTTTTTCTCTATTTCTTCAATGCGGCTAAAAAATAATTTTTGGAAAAATTTTTGTTGCCTTTTTTCAAATTTTTATTGCTCTTTTATCTTCGGTTTTTGCGAAATGTAAAATTCATTTTTGAGAAAATATTGCTGAACGAGTTTTTTATGATGAGCGAGGCTAAAGATAACAACGATCTTCTTACTACTTCGAACGTATTTTCACAATGAATGAGGTTGATTACGTGGGTATCATTGTTAGCATTTCTTTGCTGATTTGTGATTGTATTCAAATTATTATTATTTTTTTGTTCCGTCTATCGTTATTCTAAGGATGTATTCTTGTAGACATATTTATAACGACATTAACCTTCATATCTTTTCAACAAATTTAGAGATCATGGAAGTGTATGCTGAACAAGATCAAGGATTATGAATAGAGGGGGTTTAAATTAGCATAGCGAATTTTTGAATATTTACAATTTTTTTGTGATTTATATTTTTATGTGTCTTTTGTGGATATGGCTCGAAGAACATATCTGTAGTAGATAGAACTGAGCATAGGGCTCGGTTGAAACTGGTTATATATAACGGTTAGCCGAAGTGAGATAAGAACCTCGGTGGCTGAGTGACAGGGATCTCTGATCGTGTGGTCTCTCTTAAGGTCGTGGGTTCGATTCCCATCCGACTTGTTTTACATTAGTATACACATATAGCAGTTATAGGGTTATACATGTTTAGCTGTCGTTTACTTAACAATATCATGTTTAAGGGGGTCTTGGGCTTTATGAAAGCCTAATCAACAAAAAGCTAGATCTATACTTGGTAATAAAAGATCAAGATTTTTGGGGGTTACCAAAAGAAACAAGAATTTATTTAGTCCTTATGAAATGAAGCAAAGAAGCATATTTTCCGTAGAACAAATGTTTTAAATTTTGAATTTAAATTAATTCAACTAAACGTAATGTATAAATTTCTGAATACCTAAAATAATTTTTTTTGAAAATATCATCTGAATTAATAAAATGTATCTTGCACAAAGCACTTGATTTAATTCGACTGCTTCTATTTCGAAATTTGTTGACAATTTTCAAACTTCACTGGGAAGACTTTTTATTAAATTTAATTTTATATTTTGAAAATCTTATAAGATTACAAAAAATCCAATCAGACAAATATTTCTTTTAACAGCCATAACGTCTAAATGATTTTTGAATCTATGATTGTAAACAAAATTTCACCAACACAAACAAAATCTCAAGTATGACTACCGAACTCATGTTAAATACTTATTCTTGCTTAATTTTGAATAATGATTGAATGAAATGTGAATGATTAGTGTCAATTTATCTCAATTTTGTGAACTGTAAACATGAATAAATGACTTAAATTTATATTCGACGGTTTCTATTTTAGCATAGAAAATTTAGCAGTGAAAATAAATCAAAACGTGTAAAAAGCCGTTAAAGAAGACATTAAAAATTTATTGTTGTTTTGCTTACATGCATTTAGTAAATATGTTTTTAAAAATTAATGCTGCATGTAGACAGTAATTTAGAAAATCTTATTATTCATCCAACTCACATGTCAAAATTATAAAGATATTGAAATCCTCACCCTAAGTTACAAAAACATCCAACGACATCAATATTTTCAAATTTTTCCAGCAGCTAAAATTATTTTTCTTCTTTTTATTCCAATTATCGATTGCATTTACTTTACGACGATTTCAGTTTCATTTCGTGAGTCACACAGTGTAACATTAAAAATATCCGCAAAAAACATAGCTGTAAACACTTTTTGCAAAACTATAGTCTCGTGTAAGTTATGATAGGATTTATTTACATGTATCCATAGATAGAATTTTGAAGTTAAAGCAGTTGAATTAATATTTACATTTCACAAACCACCACCCATTGATTAATAATAAGACGAGTGATGAAGACAAGATAAATATGAATGGTTCTATATGTTAAAAACAACCTTGGATATTCATAAAAATTTGTGTTGTGTATTGTGGAGAATATCGTGAGGCATGATGTCATCCTCAGAAAAAAGTTGAAAGACATTAAAAAAAACATCCATTTTTGCGGTGAAGAAGATGAAGAAAAAACAATTGTTGTGAATAAAACATAGTGAGATATACCGATATGTATCTTAGTTCAATGGGAACTTTAAGTTCCATTTCGTCTATTTCTTGTTTCCTTCTTACTTAACTGCTCTCTTCATAAAGCATAAAACCGAAATATACATTGTGTGGCAATAAAAAAAAGAAACAAAAGAAATAAGAAGGAAACAGAGAGTGAAAAGTAATTGAAAGCAAGTCACGACAGCGCATTTTCAATTAGAATCGTTAGTGCTTCCAATATTTTCTATTTGATATGTCAGTAACATTAATGGAATGCATTAAAAATGAATGAAAGAGAATTTGTAAACATTGAAAGAAATATTGCGTTTAGTTTAATGCTTGAAGGCTTTTGGATAAGAAGTTTGAAATAAAATCCATTTCCTATGATTTGCTTATTTTTTTGTGATCGATGCTGAAATTCTTGTTCATACAATTTTATTCTATTTGTGTCTAAGCTTGTTATTGACTGAAGATATTGGGTTTGGTTCAAGAATTAAGAAAATTTGGAGGATTAAACTGTTTTGTGTGATAAAAACTGGATTAAGATTATAAATGTGTCTAAAAATACAAAAGTTTTTGGAACGTACTAAGTATTTGAATTTAGATGCTAATTAGAATCATCTTCCTAATTACATGTTGGAAATGATAGCTGTCAATGAAAAAAGTACATAAAATTTTCAATTTCTAAAGTCTCTAAGCTAATGTATGTTTGGATTTAAACCTTTGGAGCTTTAGAAGGCCAATATTTTAATTTCTTTGACTGCTCATCTGACTTGAAATAAATCTTCAAATTCAACCATATAAGGACTTAATGCATTCATCCATTAAGATCAACAGCAAATTGTCCTTGAAAAGCTTTGCACGTGTGCAGATAAAAATGACTCAAGCTGAAAATCGACACGAAAAATGGACAAATTGCTAATCCAAAACATAAGAATTCAATTTTTTTCGAGCACTTGAAGAAAAAAAGTGCTAATAAAATAAGAAGTATTACTACAACTCGCGGAGTCTCTTGTATGATATTATTTTTTTTCTCTATACATGAACTTATGTACATTTTCATTACACACAAAAAATACAGAGCATAATAAAAGTAATATAATTTATTTTAAACTCGACGAAGCATAATGTAAATGAACAAAAAAAAATGAGAGATAGAAAAAGAGGCAAAACAACGAGCACACACAATGCAGAGGTGTGTTTCTTATTGTGATTGTTACAATTTAATTAAAAGGCATTGGCAACAGCAGCAACAACAGTCAGTCGGTTTACCTAATATTGTACACGCTTTATCAAATTCAATTAAAGGCAGAAGTTTATTTCATCATTTAAATTGTGCACATTACGGGCGAAATTAAATTCGCATTGGATTTTTTAAAAAGAACGTCTATAAAAGTATGTGCTCACTCATCGGATGCGATAACAAAAAAAAAGAACTAGCAAAACAAAAATATCGGCAAAACAAATTTGTTTGTGGGAAAATAATACTTTTTGTGGATAAGGAGAATGAGGCTTTGGGAAGTCGATTTTAGTGATAAAAGTGAAATTATTTGGTGTTCAGGGGTGTATTTGAGGGGGGTTCTGCACATTTTGAGATACTTTGTATGTTAAAATAACTTTAAGCAAAAGCAAGCTTCTATTCTGCACCCGAGGTGTGGAAACTATCCCAAATATTGCATTTGTTACAATTATCCCAAACATATCCAAAATAATCCCTGAGCATGTATGCACGATAGTAAAGATATCCTAACGTATCCTTAATGTATTGGACATTTAGTCTTGGGATTCGATGGGATATCTCAATTTCAATGCATGTAGGCTCAGGGATTATTTTGGATATTTGGGATAGTTTCCACGCCTTGTCTGCACCTGAGTAACACACTAATCAAATGCTCAAAGTGACTCTAAGCCCACACTCGACTGCCAAAAAAATTGCGCACAAGATACTTAGATTCTGAATCTAGTTTTAGCTAAAACATCTAAAATGTTTGATTACATTTTAAAACGTGAATTTGTCGTTGATATATTTATCCACTCCAAAAATAAGACACAGATTTTTTTTTCTAAAATTGAACAATCATTGCCTTTTATTCACTTCAACTTAGTCTATTGCTCTCAATTAGACGACTACAAATAAAATAAAATCTCTTCTCGCTTTTTGCTGTCTACCTATTGACAATAATCGATGTCTATTTATTAATAATTATATTTTTTTCGGTTATTACTGTGCAATTTCGTGTAATTATTATTAGACAAAAAATCTATACTCTCAATTAGAGAAGATTTTTGCTAGTTTATTTCACTGTCAATAGTCAAGCAATTCGCATCGAAGAGTCAAATAAAATTGTTAAATAATAAAAAATAGTCAAACAATGGATCAAGAAGACAATGAATCTGTATGGATTGGACATTAAATAATAATATAAGTAGCCCTAACGTTACAGTGTTATTGGAATGTAAATTTATGTTAATTGAGAGTTGATGTAATGACCTTGTGACTGAACTATTCATGCTGAACGCATCAAATGAGTTATATCAGCTAGAAAGAATTTCTAAGTTTTGAAAGTGATGAAATCATTTGCTCTATAGCTGTCACATTGAATAGCAAGGGTCAAATTAATAAAAATATAATTTTCTGCAAGCATGAATCGTACAAGCTATAAAATATAAATCATAATAACGAGTCTGAGTATGCATAAACAAGATTGACATTCCAAGCATTCACTTATACCGTTTGGGCTTATCATCGAGCACTTATCAATAACATTTACCATGCTAGAGGTATTTATATAATAATTGCTTTAATTTACAGACATCATCATCTACAAAAACAACAACCATGACGACACCAGCAAAATTATATGGTAAAGATTTAAGTGAATATGACGACGTTGATGTAGATGCACTCCTAGCTCAATTATCACCTGAGGAGATTAATATATTAGCTAAAGAAGTTGATCCTGATGTAAGTAGCTTAATGATTCAATTAAAATAAATAATTGTGAAACAGTCAGTGACTTCAGAAAGTTAAAAACGTGCTGTACTCACGATTATTCACTTAAAATGTCAGAGATCATGAAGTACGAGTCAATAATCGTGAAATACCAACAAACTTTGACAATAAACAAGCAGTACGCTACTGCTGTTTATAAATATCATCGAAAACTTACAAGTTTCACAAAAATTACATGACTCGTGTAGGAAACACAACTTTGTAAATTTGAAAAAAAATCTAATGAGGTACAGACACAAATTATGACTTGAAATGATGATTAATTCGCAGAGCGAAAGCGACCAATTTGCAGAATCAAAAAAAAAGTTGCACAGTTATTTCTTGGTTTTTTAAAAGACCGCTAATTAGCAATCAAAATCTAATACTTAATAACTCATGCTGTGTCTCTTTAATTTAATTTTAATAGGATTCATTTTTACCACCACATCAACGTACCAGTTATGAATGTGAAAAAGAACCAACGGGTCCATTAGATCGTAAAAAACTAATTGAGCACATCAATAAACAGGCATTAGAGACACCAGACATACCAGATTTGGAACCTTTTGTAGCTGGAGTGGTTCGCGGAAAGAAATGGATTCCACCACCACAAGAAGCGAGAATGCAAGCGGCTGAAGAGCAAATTGCAATTGATTTGGGTGATGAATATGAGCAGGCATTGACAGATGCAACTCAAGAGGAAATTATTGATTTAGCTGCTATTCTCGGATTTCATCAAATGGTAAATGTCAACTCATTAATTTTTTTCTTATTTTACATGTTCTTGTCGCAATTAAACATGCATAGTCACGCAAATAAATAACTGCATTTATTTTTAAATAATGACTAATGTCACTGCATGAGGAGTAAGAAAAATCTATTAAAGGTTGTTGACTGAAGTGCATTTCGTGCCGTCAAAGAGGATAGGATTCTTTTTAAAAAGCTATATTTTATTCATTAGGGAAACACTTCATAAATTAAAAATATCGTGCATTTAGACTCAACATGAAGACGAGTGCATTTATTTTCCCATAAAAAAATTTGTGCATGCATAAAAAAAATTATGAATAATTACATGTAATTAATAACGACATTTTACAATTACAGATGAATCAAGATCAATACCATGCATCACTGCTGAATAAGCATCAACCTGCCGGTCTAGGTTGGGATGGTATAACGAAAGCATCAACACCAAAAGTTTATCCACCTGAGAAGCCAAACACAACCGATGTTGAGGATTCAATTAAACGTGTAAAAGACAACGATCATAAATTGACTGATTTGAATTGGAATAACATTAAAGTAAGTATTTGAGTTGCTGCATTTTCTGCATGTTAGAGAAATATTCAACCACAAGTTGAGACTTAATGGAGTCTAAAATGAGTTCATAGCAAGTAGTGCACTTGCAAAAATATTTCTCTAATTATGTAATAATTAATGCATTAAATAGATTGCAACAGCGCAATATTATATCCAACAAAAACAACTTTCTAATTTTGGATTATTTCTTTCTATTCCTCGATACTCGAATTTACCTATTTGTAGAATATTTCGGATGAGAGATTTGAGCAACTTTTTGCGGGATTGAAAAATAATAACAAATTGGAGGCACTCTCATTGACGAATGTAGGACTTACTGATCGCACAGCGTTGATGCTTGCCGAGGCAGTTGAGAAGAATACAACACTTCGTGTATTGAATGTCGAAACAAATTTCATAAGTCCGCCAGTGATTGTCGTTTTAGTGAAAGCCCTCCTGCAGAATATGAGCGTTGAGGAGTTCCGAGCCTCAAATCAGGTTTGTAGATTTGTTAATCTGTGATCAGATCATTGTAGCAGCTCGGTATCGATATTTGTGAAGAATCTAGATTTTGGTCACATTTAAGCTAGGCATGTGATTCATAGTGAGCTGAAGTGGCTCGGTGGCAGAATGGTTTAGTACTTCGGTACCTAATTATTGCAATACCGACACAGCGATCATGGGTTCGAGACTGGGTATGAGAAATTTTTCACTTGTCCTTTTTCGAATCATATGTACTGGAAATGAGGCTCACAGCCTTCCTTTGTAGGCTACAGACAGAAATGTCATCAAAGGAGTGGTTCGGATCCCACTATAAATTGTAGGTCTAGGTTTGAGTGCAGTGATTTGGCGCATCCTCACTCGTTAAACTCACATTAGCTGCGAATCGCCCTAGCGCACCTCTGGATCACAATTGATCTGAATAGGTAAAGGTTTTTTTTTTTTTTATGTGATTCATAAGTCACAACCCTCGTTCAGATTTCTCCCAATTAACATGGATTTCGGCAATAAATACCGAATTAGCTGTAAATTTTTATCATAACTTCAATATTTCATGATTAGAAAATATTTTGCGAGTTAAACAATGGGCTACTTGGAAGCAATTACAGCTTTATATGCCGAACCTCCCAAGCTGAATTATAAATCGCATTATCCAAATGAAAATTCATTAAAATCTCATCGTAATTACATCAAAAAATTATTATTTTGCACTTTCACTTTCTTTATTAGTAAATATGTATAAACTGTCTACCGACTGCATACAATGAGATGATGAAAATACAAAAATATTACTATTATTATTTTCACTCTCATCTTCATTTCACTTTTATTCTTTCTCTTCGCATCTCTTTTCTTTTAGCGATCAACTGTGTTAGGCAACAAGATCGAAATGGAAATAACAGAATTAGTGGAGAAGAATTCCACATTACTAAGATTAGGTCTTCATTTAGAGTTTAATGATGCTAGACACAGAGTCGCTGCCCATTTGCAACGTAACATTGATAGAAGTGAGTATTACTTTCCTAATGTCATAAAATTGATTCTAAAACGACTTGAAAAGCACATGAAAAAAAAAGTTTAAAATTAAAAATAAATCTTGAGATTAATACAAAGTTAAGACAAAATTTAGGAACTAAGAATTTAGTCTATAGATAATAATAGACAATCTAGAAGGAGAATAATCTAATTATACTATAAATATAATACTCAGATGAGGCAACGGACGTATTAACAGATGTCGGTGGAAAGACATATTTATTCATTAAGCATCCTCGCACAAAAATTGCAACAATTATTGATAAAAATACAAACGAAAAGGAATTTATTATCACAAAAGATTATCATGCATCACCACCACCATGTGATAATTAAGATGAATGAATCTCACATCTTTCTCACTCACATCCTGCACATAAAGCATTTTTGAAATCCCATAAATTTCAATAATTTTTTTTTCTTTATCACATCACCCCCTTTTCTTCTTCTATACTTATACCACGAGCCACATTGCATAAAGTATGATGAGGTAATCACGTTTTGTTATATGAATGTGAAAAAGAAATTCTTCCTCCTCGTGTCCATCATTTTGTTCACGTAAAAATTCCGATAATCTATTAAAGTAAATAATAAGAAAGAGAACAGAATTTGTTTTTCTTTCTTCGTTCACTCCTTTGTTTCATGTCAGTTTTTCACACGCTTTTATTTTACTTTAATTGTCTTGCGGGACTGTTGATTTATTTGTCTGTTTATCTGCTTGTAAATAAATTAGGTTAAAAATTCGATCAGCTTCCTTTTGTCATTTTTGTTTTGATAGCAATTATTTTAAAAGTGGAAGTTAAGTTGATGACTAAGAGATCTAATATTTAAGTACCTGAATGCTTCTATTCAGAGATCTAAGGTTTGGAGAATCGACAAGATTTGCTTCGATAGAGCTGATGATGACTAGTGTAGCACATATTTTTTGCAAGACTAAGCTAGGTTCAAACCTACTTACTTACAGTAGCGAGTAAAAGTAACTGGCCACTCACATTTTCTGCTCTATCTTTTGATTGGAACCACGAAAAGTGATAAAATTTTCACCAATTATTCCATTTTTTATTACTAATACACTAATATAATTCTAAATTCATAATTCATTGAATTTTGTACAGTTTTCCCATAAGGGAGGTTTTTGAGGGAGCAAAAGTAATTGGCCACTTTATAGATTACAATTGTTCAAAGGTAATCATAGAATTGAATATTTATTTTAACTTATTCTGTTAAAATGGACAAATAATAAATTTTAGAAATGATTTTCTTCAATATTCAACATTTAGTTCCCTTAAAAATCATGGTGAAATAGAGTATGTCCAAATAGAGGTTTTTACCCATTTTTTTAATTCCACAATACTTTAATTAAAAATAAAGCTTAAATTTACATTCTACTCATCAATACCTTCATTTTGATATACAATATGCCATACTTTCCTCCTATTTCTCTCTTAAAAATCATATTTAATCTATACAGCATGAACAATTTGCAGGGAAACTGACATTTGTAGGTTCCTATAACCTTATAACAGCTTCCAAAAATTATGTTATGCACATATTTCTATAGATTATAGTCTGCCAATTATTTGATATATTATACATGCATATTCATAAGCTGGTTTAACAGTAAAAGATGGCTAAAGTTGAAGTTGTTACAAAATCATCGAATTTCTAAAAGTTTTCATACAAACTTTTAAAAATTGATCTGATCTTTTTTTTGACTTTGCAAAACTGCTGAGTCTGCTTATGAATATGCATGTATGATATATCAAAATGATTGGCAGACTATAATCTATAGAAATATGTGCATAACATAATTTTTGGAAGCTGTTATAAGGTTTTAGGAACCTACAAATGTCAGTTTCCCTGCAAATTGTTCATGCTGTATAGATTAAATATGATTTTTAAGAGAGAAATAGGAGGAAAGTATGGCATATTGTATATCAAAATGAAGGTATTGATGAGTAGAATGTAAATTTAAGCTTTATTTTTAATTAAAGTATTGTGGAATTAAAAAAATGGGTAAAAACCTCTATTTGGACATACTCTATTTCACCATGATTTTTAAGGGAACTAAATGTTGAATATTGAAGAAAATCATTTCTAAAATTTATTATTTGTCCATTTTAACAGAATAAGTTAAAATAAATATTCAATTCTATGATTACCTTTGAACAATTGTAATCTATAAAGTGGCCAATTACTTTTGCTCCCTCAAAAACCTCCCTTATGGGAAAACTGTACAAAATTCAATGAATTATGAATTTAGAATTATATTAGTGTATTAGTAATAAAAAATGGAATAATTGGTGAAAATTTTATCACTTTTCGTGGTTCCAATCAAAAGATAGAGCAGAAAATGTGAGTGGCCAGTTACTTTTACTCGCTACTGTACTTACTTCGCTGGTCGTACAGATCAGTTGTGATCCATGGCCTCCCTTAGTCTACCTCTATTGCTGGCTACCGTTAGCCGATTCCAAATGCAATGTCTCTATCAACAGCCTCTTTCCATGAGTTTCAAACTTGGTCTGGTTTAAATCAATTCAGCTCATTTACTGACTATGAAGCTAATAGCATTGCTATGAAGGCTATTGACAGAAAAAAAATTGTTCAAGCCTTTGCAACTCTAACATGACGTTTAAGATATTTTTGAAAAATAACAGATAAGCAGACAAAAAAAGTAAAAATTTGGAAATCCATTCGAAAATTTGACCAAAAATTTGAAAAGTTTGAATTACAAAAAAAAAATGAAAGCGTATCCGTATAATAACCGATGTTTGAATTTATATGGTTGCCGTTGAGTACGTTAAAAAATTATTTGTTGTTACTTTGTGTTGAGGGAATTTTAATCTGTTTTGTGACTACCACAAAAATAGATGCGTTAAGGATTAATTTTAATGAAATGTTTTTTTTTTATTCATAAGTAAGAAGTACAAAAAATTGTGTTAATTTTTTTTTTTTAAATGAAATATCATTTGTGTATATAAAAATGAATCTCATGATCAACTATTCCTTCTTCATTGTTATACTTCCCTACAGTTCGTATAGAGCGACTTGAATTTGATCCCGATAATCAAGTGATCAGAGGTGAGCGATCAGACAGCGAAGATGACTATTAAATAACGAATTAATGATTATAATGCCACATTATGCCACATTTACTATTTCAAATAAATTTCTCATTCGTCCTCGTCTTCATAATGTCATGAAGACTCTAAATGAGGAACAAAACTCTATAATAAGTCATAAAATATCAGAAAAAACTATAATTAATATTGTCTTTTATAAAAAAAAAACTCAAACGCAATCAACTGCCGCTTATGCACATCATTATTACAACTACTGCAAGTTATCACACTACATTATGTTATATTAGAATAGATGCTGATGCGTTTAGCCAAAAAAAAAAAAAATACCATATAAATATTGAGAGTTTATGTATATTTTCTTAGAAATGAAAAAAGTTCTGTTCTGTTATTTAATATGTGAGTCTCATTTTATACATTATTTTCATAATTTTAATTGTATTATAATTAATCTCGTAACTCATCATAATTGACTTAAATATTTATTCTGTGGATCGATTTTGTTAAAGTGGATTATTCTTGATTGTGCTTGTGAACTTGAGGGTGGCATAGTCTAATCTGGATCACTTGAATTGTTTTTAATTGGTTTCAACTTAGTCGTCCTTAAAAATAGGCTAGCTACGTTTCGGACTAGTTTTAGACTATATGATTTCAACTCCCATCTGATCTAGATTTCAAGATGATGTAGCTACTTAAAAGAAAAATAAGACTTGCAGTTGGCACATACATAAATGCCCCATATACTTAATGTCAATGATCTATCTTACAAAGCTTGATATAATTCAACATAACACGAGCATATCTAATTGTTCACATTGAATGCAAAAGATTTAAAGATGATCCACTTGAACGAAGTCGCTCCTCAAAATTTCTCTATTTATTTCTAAACCACATTCAAACACACCTAAACAAAAACAAAATAAATTTCTACTCTTCGTCTCGAATGATTTGAAATTAAACAAATTGATGACAGATTTTTTGAATCGTTTGAGACACAAAAAAACTTAACGCACCTACTACTCATCATTATTATTATTATTTTTGTTTTTTACATTTCTATTTAAAAAAATACTCTTATTACTACATCAGCAGAAAAAAAAATACAGAAAGAAGTCTGTCGACAATGACACTTTTCATTACTATAATTCTTTATTTCACACGAGTGTGTTTTGGTCACTCAAAAAACCGACACTTCTGCTTAATCTGATTTCTTGAAGCCTTTTGATACATATCACCAGCATGAAATCTAATCCTATTTTAACTTCACACTTTATTTTGTGGATTTGTTTCTGTTTCCTTTTGTGACTTTTTGTTATTTCTTTGGTTTTAATATTATATTGTTCCTGTGTTTATGGTCAACAATGTAAACAATTGCTTTATTTGTTTGATGACAATTGACATGAACTTGTTGCCATCCAACATAAACAGCAAGAAGTGAGAATTCTGAGCGATATTTGTTAGATTTGAGTGACATTAAGCATTGAAAACTGTCAATTTAGCAACAATATGGTTTCCATAACTAAATGACTATCAAGAATGTCAATTGGCTTTTTATTATGACCACAAAAATCCCTGTCTATTGATTCTTTTGTATAATTTGAATGTTTAATGGCAATCAACAGGTATTGAAGGATATTTTTTCATTGCATATATATTTTCTGTTAAAGCAGCAACTGTCAATCATAAAACATGCAGTTGCAACTTAAATTTAGCTTGACTCATGAGCTTTCACCACAATTTCCTTGAAAAGACAGTTTTCAAAGCTTTATTATCCACCCAGCAAGACTTTATCCTTTCACTCATTCAAAAACCACAGCTAAGCATCAGTTTGGCAACAATTTATATCACTCAGAGATCACTCACCCTCAAAATTTAATATTAATTAGATTTCGTGCTGTATGCTATGTTTGTGGCTTAAAATAATGTAATTGATCTAATCTAATAAGCTGTACATAAAAGTAAATTCATGATATTCAAAAAAAAGACATTTTAAAAAAAATTTTTAAAAAAATAAGTTTAGTCATTGCCATAAATTTAAAAAGTCTCTGATTAAAAGCCAATTTATGGGATGTTTCGGAGACATTTATTGGTTACAATATTGAAGGTTGAAGGAAACGAACAGAAGAAAAGAATCTCAATAGACAATGACCTTTGGAAAGCAAGAATAGTCAAGGACGTTCTAATTTTCATGTCTTTCCATCTGATACACAAGTCAACACCTGACAAATAATTTTCAAAGGTGCTAAAATCCACCCAATGCGGAATGTGGCTTAGTGCTTCCAATAACTATAATCATCGCAATAATTATCAGCTACGAACCTTTAAAAAAATCGATATCAGCCACGAAAGGTGGAAATTAATTTTTTGCCTCTTTTTTTCTGTGTCAGTTCTGTCTATAAACCTTTCATTCAGTTTTCACATCTATTGTATTGAATAAGAATCTCGGAATGAAAATTTCGACCCAAGCACAAGAGTTAAATACATTCATGCCCAATTCTTTTGTATATCAAAGAAGAATGTTTCAATAAGCGATCGAAAAATCGGACAAACACATTGCTCACCCATCTTCTTCACCCACGCACATTTTTATACACAAACACAAGTCAAATTCAGCTGGTTTTTTCATCTCGCTCTTACTTACTTTAAATTTTTACTTTACGTGAGAATTTTTGTGATTTTTTTTGCGCTCTCAAAAATTATTTTTTATATTTTTTTTTCTCCCCGAAAGATATTTTTGTTTTCAATTTCATTGTCATTATGATTTTTTAAGTCTATTTTTAAAACACTTTTTTTTTTCACTATAATATTAGCAATAATCGTACACAAATACAAAGTTTTTTTTTTGTTTATCAATGTGGTAGATATATCGAGCGAATGTATGGATCCTAGTATGAACAAAAACAAAAATCAGATCACGAGACAGATGATTCTGTTTATTGTCTAAAATTAGAAAGATTCCAATACTGATTCTTTTTTGCATTTTGATATTCTAGTGAAAACGTGATATAATTGTTTATAAAAAGATATTTTTACTATCGATGTTGTAATAGAATTAATGGAGATGGTATGGAAATTCAATGAAAATGATTTTCTGTGTGAGATGATGTCAACGGACTATAGTCATAAAAATTTTAAATTTATGTGTCTCCAGGGAACCATTTCTGAATGTTTAGATTTATATCCATGTTGAACATTGGCAATTAAAATAAAATTTATGGTAATGTAATCTTTTTGATCTATTTTTGGGGTGCAGATGAACTTCACCTTGCTACTGTGATGCAATGCATCCAGTAAGGTTGAATTAAGTTGGGAAGTAAGGTTTCTATGTCAACATGCATTGATCATGAGCTGAAGTGGATGAAAAACCTAGACTAGAGAAGTTAACTTAATGCTAGACTGTTCCTTCCTTGGCGCGTGGGCCTATCTTTCGAGACTTTCTGCCAGTTCGTGATCTTAAGGATTTAATCATCCTTATTAACACATCGAATCCAGGTGTTCTAGACTGCTAGGTTTTTAATCTAGTTCATGGTTCAGGTTAATCTTAGTTCATCTGAACTTAGAAGCCTTACTCAGTAAAATTTTGCTCAAACTTTTTTAATGCCAAACTTTCAACCAGCCGGAAACTCAAATTTTTTTTGATCCACAGAAATCATTTTGAATATCAAACGAAGACATTTTGCGCATTGAAATTTCATGCCAACTCACTTAGTTAAAATTAGAAGTCAACTCAAAAAAAGTCTACTCATTATTGTTGTCGTCGTAGCAATTATTAAATAGACTTGTTAATATTTATTTATTTGACGTAAATAATCTTTTTAGTAGCGATGAAATGTACTTTCATCTTAAAAAAAATTCATATCTCCTTAAAATATTTAATTAATATTAATAACAACGACATTCTTAAAAATGTGCAAATCTAAAACAATTAATTAAAAAATTACAAATTTTTACAAATCAAAACACAAAACCAATTAAAAACATTGTCCATATTTTCTGTTATGTTTCCAGTAAGGAAAGATCTAGAATTACGCCTTCAATTCAGATTTTTTAATCTGCATAGGAAAACAGGGACTATGATACAATAATATACTTACTCACTCACTATCTCGGTAAAGGTATCAGATACAAATCAAATTCAATACATACCAAATTTAAACGTAACATGTACTCAGCAACTGCTGCTGCTAGTCTAACACCTCTAACTTTTTGGTGGGCTTGCTTGAGAGGCTGTTCATTAATGAAGTTCATTGAAAATTTTAAATTTTTGTAGACACAAAAGCTTCGAAACAAATTAAGTTTAAGACAACCTTTAAATTGGACATCATTAATGAACGTCCCCTTAAGATAATCCACTTAATAGGAATTTTTCTTCTAAATCTTTTATTCACTCTAATACACTTCCAAATAGCAATAATTCACACTTTGAAGGCGATTGAAAAATAATTCTATCTAAGCATTTCTCCCCGCTTCTCTCAAATAATTCAACTAATGCTGATTGATAATATCCAATAATACAATAAAACAGATCTGCATTCGAAATTTTATTCATTACGTAGTGAGCATTTATGAAGGCAAAGAAAATTTCTAACATTTTTTTTCCCTGACATGAATTTGTGTCGCTTAGAGTCTCGTATGATTAATGTGTTGTGGATGAAAACATCCATAGCGAAAGAATGAAGAAGAAGCTGAAATTATTTCTGTATTCCGCATTGTTCGTACACGAGCCATACAAATTTTTTTTTATGAATATCATGTGTTCCTTGCATAACTTGCTATTTTTTTTTTTGGAATTTTTGTGTTTTTTGTGCTTTGTGTTTTTGTTTTAGCTTGTTTTAAGGCTTTTTTGTGTGTTTTTTTTTAAATTTTCATTGTGGAATTTTGGAATAATTTGATTTTGTGAGCAAATTCCATCTCCAGACTTCAATTATTTACCTACCAATTATCTGCCATGCCAAACAGAAAAAAAATTAACGAGAGAGAAAGTAAAGATCAAAATGAGTCTTAATCAATCACGAAGCGATTGAGTTGTGGCA